AGCACCTTCTCCTTTTCCCACTCACCTCCTCTAGTGTCTTGGTCTTGAGATGTCAACCCTGATAAAGCTTTCTCTTCCTTTGCACACTTGCTCTCTCGTTATGGCTTCCTTTTTCTTCAAACCCTTCTCACCTTCCCTTCCTCAATCCCTCTCTGGATATGGCAAACTCCTATCACTAAGGCTATGGAGTCCTCCCTTCTAGGAGGCTAAGGGGACTCTCTTTAGCCTTCCTTTCCTCCTCTAAATCTGAGGGCTATGGCCCTCCTCTTACTCTAGTTTATCCTAGTGCTCTCTTGAGCTCACTTGGCCAACATCTTCTTGCTTCACGCCAATATGTGTGAAGCGGACTGCTCCCCCAGCTTAAATAGGCTGGGCACAACACTTTGGCCAGCCCTTGGGCCTCTCCCAAGTGCCCAAGGTGCGTCGAGGTACCCCCAAGGCCTCCTTTCATTAGTGGGTCTCTTCGAAAGCACTCGGGCCTCATTTTGGTCAAGGACATACAGTCTGAGTGGTTTGTACCATCTCGGCCTACCCTTGTGGCCATCCTAGGCCTCATTTTCATCTTGAGTTGCTGCCCCATGGTTCCGAATAATCATGGGGCAGCCTTGGTTGAAAAGAAAAGGCCTTTTGGGTTTTTTCTTCGATTTCCTCGACTCGTACTTTAATTTGGGTGGGTCGACGTACCTCCATGTACCTTGGTGCATTTTCTGCATTGGATCTGGCTGAGATCCAAGACCAGAATTAATCTGAGCTACACACAAGTGGTCCTCGCTTCAGATTTGAGCCCCATGGCTCAATTTTGCCTCCAATAGTTTCAATTTGTGCCCTCTCTTAGTCCGATTTTTCCTTGGCAGCCTTTTTGCTGCATAGAGTCCCTGAAGGCTCTATTTTCTCTTGCTTGGCTGATCCGAGATATCTTGAACTGCAATGTAAGCCTTCCTTCTTCATTTCTTCTCTCCTTTTTCTTCGAAACCTTCTCATCTTGACCCTACTAGTGCTTGCACTAGTAGTGTTAATATTCTCCACCGCTAGATCTTAATCTTGACGGTGCATCTTGCTTTGATTGTCCATTCCTCATGTCGTTCCACAATTTCCTTGGGACAACTCAAGTCCCCGTCACTCATCCCACATTAGTCCCATCTTCTAGTCCCACTGATGGTCCTGCCGGCGCTGGCCCCAAATTTTTTTATTATTGTTATTTGGACTCATTTAGTCCCCGACATCATTTCCCACGTGGTCCCATTTTTATTTGGGACTCCCTAGTCCCCGTTAATCCCAATTTCCTTCTTCCCATGTGTCTCAAGTGTGTCGAATATTTTCGGTCGCTTGATCTTCATCTCACGGTTGCTTAGTTACCGTCATCGTTTGCTCTCATGCTTGAGGCACAACTTTCAAGTGTCTAGAGGATGTCAGGGCATTTTCCCTTGACCTTGACACCCCCTTGCAATTCGTTCATTCTCGGAGTGCAACGCTGACCGTTTTCCTAGTCCCATCGCCCCAAAACTTGCCCCAAATTGAAACAAAATGGAGTGGCGCATTTCAAA